CCCCCCCCCCCCCCCCCCCCCCCTCCCCGCCCTACCAACCGACTTGGACTGCCTCGTTCACGGGGATGTAATTGTCAATCCTCTGAAATGGAGAGGTGGGGGGTGTCGTATCTCCGTCTCTAACCCTACACCGTACCCCCTTCTGCATCCTCGCTAAGGCTTACTCTTGGTCGAAGGCGTTCTCCTGTGGAGGAGAGGAGAGGGTCCGGCGTCCTTGTCCTTCCCCAAAACGGGTTCTATCTCCAGCATTCCCCGCATCGGGGGGTGGTCGCCGATGTTGCTGCTGCCGTCGATTTCCTGTGAGTGTGGTATTGGAAGAGGGGAACAAAGCAGGCAGAAAACAATCAGCGTGTTCCTACAGTTCGAAGCAAGAAGTACTGTTTGCAGCAGCAGCAGCAGCAAAAAAAAATATCAGTTGTACAGCAGCCATCATGTATTGTTTGCTGCCGCACGTGGTGGTCGTTTGTGTCGCGCCCTTTGTCTTCCCACAACGACAGAAGAAACGTTCCTCCCCGCGGGTCAACATGCTTCATTCACTGCATGCACGGCCTATCATACGTACATCGAGCATTTCTCCTCCGACACTCCACAAACGGGGTAAATAATCGTGTTCAACAGCACGCACGATTCCTCTTATACAGCAAGTCACGTGAGCGCCCGCGCTGCTGTGTAATGACTTGGCAGCTTAAAGAGACTTCTAGACCATGCCGCTGTAGCCTCGAACATACCAAAACCTAAGAACTCCACAACCTTTTTTATTTTTTCTTTGTATGACACAAACGAATCTATCTCTAAGAAAAGAGTCCAAGACAGATTAGCAATGAATCCATAGCGTCATCCCCACGCTAAAACCTATAAGCGGCCGTTCGTGGCAGAACCCCCAGGGAATGTTCCGAGAAATGGTGTTCCGACCGTCAACAACATTTTTGCGTTCGACAAGTGGTGAGCGCTACACTGCGGGACGTCAGAACCACAGTCAAAACTACTCTCCCGCAGGCTGCTGTCCAGTACCCACACGTCCACAAAGCAAAGGCAGTTACGTTTTGGGAATGGTTCACCAGAGTGTTGTTCACCAGAGTGTGTGTTGTGTTTCCGTCCTATTTATGATGGCGACAGTCCCCCCATTTTTCGTGGTGAGACGTGTACTACACTTTTCAGTGTCATTTTTCGTACAACAACAACCATCCAGGGTCACACAGGAGGGGGTAAACACCAGGGCCTTTTTTCTTACTATTATTTCTTTTCATGCCCCGCCTTCGTCCTGCGGTGCGTGCTGAATTTTTGTTTTTATCGCGAGAAGGTTCCAGCCGTCCCCTTTCCCTCGTCAACGCTGCTATCGTCGAACTTCGGTACTCACGAGAGCTTTTTAGCTATAATATTTCGCTTTCACCCTCAAATTTTTCACCTCATGGGGATTCAAACTCACGACCTCTGCGGCTAGCGGATCACGAGGATACCACTAGACCACCGGGGCGACCAAGCCTGGTACGTTTGTGTAGAACTAAGACAAGACTGCCGGTGGTGTGACGTGAGGTTGTGTAGAACTAAGACAAGCCTGGTACGGTTGTGTAGAACTAAGATGAGACTACCGGTTGTGTGACGTGAGGGAAGATAATGCTGTGTTCGTCGTGAAGCGAGTGTTCACACCGCGCGCAGCAAGAACAGCTGCGGACCTGCTGCTGCGGTGTCAAAGAATCGGGTGATGGAAAGAGAGACAGACCACGTTGTGCTCGACACGGGCGTGCCCTGGACGACAAAGCCCATTGACCTGGTTGCTCTCCTGTCGAAGTGCTACAATACAGCAGGAGCAAAGCAAGCGAGAAGAGACCAACCGCGTGACGTGACATTGTGCAGTTGAATTCAGCGACCATTTAGTTTTTCTGTTGCCCTCTCCCCCGTTTGCTGTCGCGTTCAGACTGTCTCTACGGATATCCCTGGCTTTGTGCGAGTTTGTTTATGTCCTCGTCTGTCTTTGGTTTGTTTCGTTTTATTTTGTTTTGTTTTTTTTACTGGCACGTACTGCTGACCCTTGGGGTCCTTCCGGAAGGCTACCCCCCAGGCTGGTGGTGCGCACGTTCCACTAATTAGTTATTTATTTGTTTCTGATTCTTTTGTTTTCTTGTATTTTATCGCTCTGCTAACCCTTGGGGTTTATTTTATTTTGGTATACCTTTTCTAGGTACGTGAGCCTGTGACTACGGAAATTGACCGAGTCAAGTGCTGGATTAGTACGGAGAGATTTGAGACAGAAGGAGGTACTGGATAGAGAGACCGGGATGGTTTTTAATGTGAAGACAACAACAACAATGCAAAACAACAGGGCACGTTCGTTCAGCACAAGCTCCTTTTCCTATCCTCGGCACCTCTGTTGGGAACGAAAGCAGTAGCCCAGCAGTGTGTACCCAGGTTGAAAATAAATGGCGCATGCAGAAAAACTACATTCTGGATAAGTGCCTGTCGGCACCGTGTGATTGTTCAGCTGTGAGTTACCCTATGCACCAAGGGAAGAGCAAAGATCGAGCGTTAACATCATGGAGATGGATAGATGGCAGGCCGCGTGTCAAAGCCGAGGAGGGCTGAGGTTGCAAGCCTACACGAGTAGTAGCTCAAAACGTTTCTCCTACGGTAGTAATTCGATTCACAAGTCCCACGCTAGCGTACAACCTCTCCACCCTGGACGAATTTATACCATCTGCCCCGGTGGTGCCCTACTGTCGTGGGGCGCCAGTAGGCCAGGCATGTATATCACCGTCGTTGGTATGAACCAATATAATACCTACGAAAAACCGCGGGGCCGGAAAAGGAGGCGCGTTGCATTTCTCGCCGCAGAAGAACCCACCTACCTCTCTCGCTCTGCGTTCAGCTCGATCTGGACGCAGAGAAGGCTTGCGGTAGAGACCAGGAACGCCATCTTGCAGCATGTTCCCAAGCCGCCGTGCGCGAACGCTCTGTCTGCTACAATAACCACTGCTGTTCTACAGGACCGAGGCACACCCGCTCGCAAGGACGTGGAGGGGTAACGCACACAGTATTTTTACAATACTATGAGAGGGTAGCGCACAACGTTCGATGTTACGGAGCCGCTGCTCTTCACGACGGCGCCCGGGAATTCCCGGGCCACAGGCGTTGCTGGGGGCCCAAAACGCAGAAAAGTCCGGCCAAAAATCAATATAGGGTACCCTCGTTGTTGACGCCACCGGCCGGAGCCCCGCGGCGACGGCCGGCACAACTGGGCTCACTCAACCACACCGTTCTTCACGCTCAGAGCAGAGACCGACACGAAACTTTGCAGGAACCCCAGAAACATTGCATCCTACACCCGTGAGTGGTTCATTGTTCCATTTCATCCCTTGAATGAGAGAAAAGAGCTGCGGAAACGTGTTGAGTGACATTGTTCAACTTAGTTGCGCCGCGTTGGGAAGGGCACCTTCGGCTCCAAGTTACTACCTCGTAGAGTTGATCAAATCGCGGGATACTCGGAGGCTGTACTTCTTGGTGGGTTAGGTATCGAAGACACCCTGGTAAAAATTCGGATCAGCACTACAGGATGCGTAATCATCCTTGCCGAGGGTTGTCTACAAAACGCGGCGGAACCTCGAAAACAGGACAGGTACGGTCGCTGATACGCAGCAGACGTTGAGTGCCTCACAGCTTTGCAGCTTGCTGACCATGGTTCATGGGATGATCATGTAGTGGATAGCTTGCCAAACATCCATGGCGCACGTGGCCGCGCCCTTGATTGTGTATCTTCCAAATTTCGACAGGTCTTTCTGCCTACAAATCATGCAGAGCAGCAGCAGCCGCCGATGTAGCGCATGCCTGGAATGCGGAGAAGACTTCAGGCAGACTAGGGCTAGGACAGGAGAATTGCTTCGGAGCTTTGTAGACGAGGCTGGGTTAGCAGACAGGTTTCCCGGCTTTCAGTCGGGAGCCGCGGGCCCAAACTTGTTCGCTCTATGTAAACGTTCGGGTTGTCTGCTGGAGCTGTACAAGAAGCACGAGTGGGCGCGGAGCAGGGAACGCGTAGCGCGGAAGGCAAAGCAGACGCCGCGCCACAGCCGGACCTGGAGCGCCGCTCCTGAACCTGTCACGCACCACAAACGCCGGCGGTTTGATCGGTACTGTACTTCGCCTGAGGCGGTGGACGCCTTGCGGGATGCTGTTGCTATAACGGGTTGTGTTTTGGACATGTGCGGCGGACCTGACGACGCGGTGGCAATGGGGTTTGGCGGCACGTGTGAAGTTCTCACGAACGACGTGAGCTCGAGGTAAGGAGGTGCAGTTTTTCGAGTGAAGTCGTTTTCGATATTGTGTTTCCGGCAGTGCTGTGTGTCAGTGTGTGTCGATAGCCCCTAGTGAAACGCAACGATGGCGCACTCACACTTTACCTCCCAATGCATATTCCGTCCGCCACACAAGGCTCTCGCCAGGTACCAACCTGGACGCAAGCTTGCTTTCTTTTCCGGATGATTTTGTCAAAGCCAACCCCGGAAAGCGACCTGACTGGGTCGTCACGAGCCCTCCATACAAGGGTGCAGTGGGGTTTGTGAGGGCGGCTTTGGCGGTAGCGACGAAAGGCGCGGCGCTGAAATTGCCGCTGTCGTTCCTAGAGCCCTGTGCCGACCGTGGTGGTTGGCTTCTAGATAACCCCCCGGCTGTGTGCGTTTTTTTACGGAGGGCCAAGTACACACGTGTTCACCACGTGAAAGTCGGAGAATTTTGGGGTGTGTGGTACACCGATGGAGGCTGCTGCGGCGACAGTAGGGGGTCGAGGCTCGTGTTCTGCCCTAAATAGGGGTGCGTGTAGGAAGGGCGCAGGGCGCCCTGGCGTTGAGAAAAGTTGTTTTTTTGGTGATTCTGGTTGAGTGAAGAATGGTCTATACCATCGTGTTCCGCGCTGCCGACTACTGCTGCTTCTCGCCCTCCAAAAAAAACGTAGAATAATGCAGAGCCGCCCCCGCGGTTCAATGCCTTCGTGATGGGAGTCAAAAGCCACACGGAATCTTCGGTGCTGAAGGACACAATGCAAGTTAGCGTGGGGGCTGTTCGCGTACCCGTTTTGGACGTGTTGGCGGGTGGGTGCACCACGTGAGCAAGTGGTGTATACTGTTCCTCGACCTGAAATACGTCGATGTAGAACATTTGCAGCACCTTCGACTCCACGTGATGTTCCGGCTCGAAACACGTACATTTCCCTTTTTTTTTTTTTCTCCACACCTACACAGACCTTTCATTTGTCCCTGCCCCCCACGAGGCAGCAACCGGTTCGCCCGGCGATACAACCAACTGCTCTCGTCGACTGGTCCAATCCATCTGGTCGCGCTGCTCGTACTCTGCAATATCATCCTCGCGAAACCCACCAATACTTATACCCCCGCCCGCACCGCCCACACCAGGCAAAACATCATCATCATCGGATTGGTCGTCGTCGCTCTCCCCTTCTGTCGATTCACCCCCACCGATATCGAATAGCATGGCACTAGGGTTAGTCTCTTCCACGCAACAAGCTCGTTTACATTTGCACAGCTCTGAGCAAATTGACCCTTTCTGTTTGCAGACGCAGCTCGTGCATTGGCCCCTTCCCGGTACATCAGAACATCTACATTTCACCGTCTCGACCCCGCCCGGCCAGATGGTTACCTTCGGCTCTCTGCGCAACAACATCTTACAACATCCGTCTACTTCTGGGTCCTTCAAGTACCCCTTGTTGTTCCACTCGGGAACTGCAATGGGATAGTTTTCAGAGGGTTCCGAGCCTGCAGCACTAACGGGCACAATAGAAAGCCAATATTCTACCAGCCATTCCATCCGAAGCACACAGAGGTCGAGAACATCGTAATTAGGGGCAGCCTCTCTGACCTTCCCTTGGCCGTAAGCCGCTTCGGACGTGCGTACGTGGATCGCATCAACCCATGCCTTCGTTTCATCTACCGCTCCGTTGCGTTTCTTTGGATCAACAATAGGCTCTACTTGGTGCCCGGGTGGATACAAAAACGATGCCTGGTACTTCTTAAAGTAAGCGAGGGCGACAAACTTAATCAGCTCTTCCCTTTCCAAAGCCACCCCGGCAACCGCTCCATCCTTCACTGCATGCTCACCCAGGGCCTTTAGAAACCGATGGTTCTCGGGGTTCTTGACATACTCGAAATACGACTGGAACATAAAAAACGAAGTGAACCCAAAAAATGTCGGGGTGAAATCGGTTCCGCAAAGCATGTAGGCGGCGATGACAGGCAAGCACTTCTGCAAGGGGGTGAATGCACTTGGCCAACTCGTTAATCTCGTCAGCGCGTTGAATAGCTCAAGTACGTCGACGCAGGTAACGGCGGCTTGGTCGTATAACCCGCTCTGCTTTCGCACCACTACACGCACGTTTCGAGTCCACGGATGCGCAGCGTACGCGAGGAGAGCTGCAACCCAAACGTCCGTGTCCACGGAAACTACCTCCACTCTGACCGGTTCTCGCACGCCCGCCTCCTGCCCCTCGCGGCTACCCTCCCTCGACTGCTGTTGTAAGCAAACTTGGTACACGTGGTGAAGTGCCTGGAGTTCCCCCTCCCCTAAGCCGTTATCCTTTTCTTCCGGAATTTCCGCACCGTCCACGTCGTTGTACCTGTTCGTGCGTGGAATTAGATAGTCGAAAGTAGCCGTTACGTAGGATGCCGTTGGGATGCACATGGTCTGTGGTTAGAGGCTTTGGACGATAGTGCGGACTACTTCTCCTTCTCCTTCTCACTCTCTCATGCAATCAATATACACAGTTAAACAGCAATCCCCATGTTCGCCAGCCCTACCAAGGCTGGAGCTCACGAACACGCTCACCATGATTTGTACCCGGTTGTCGTGGAGAAGTCCGGGGACAGCAAGGGCTCTCCGTCGATCCGTAGGCGCATTTCATTTATGCAGTGCTCTGCCCACTCCAACTGAATGCCGGCTGCCTTTTTCTGACGAATGCGGCCAAGTTGCCGACGAATATACTGACACAACACCGAACACACACCATCGCGGTTTTGCCGGTTCTTCAGGAACTCCTGCCATTCTGAAGACGGCGGCGTCTTGTCTCCCAAACCGAAACGGTACGGCGCTCGCGTGTACAAGGGCCCAGATTTTTTCTTCTTGGACTTAGCCCCAGGAAACAACCCTCGCGCATTATGCGCAAAGCTCTTGGGGTTGGGCACCATTGCCCTCTTGTCAAAGCAAAGCACGATACGCACGACGCGGCCTTGAAGTTTTTTCCCCTCCCTGGAGCATAGCCGCCATAGAAGACGGTCCACAATGTAGCTGGCATACGCTTCCCAGGTAAGTAGACGATTTCTCGATCTGCTTGCGACATACGCCAGGGGCGGGACTGAGTGGACGATGGTGGCCATGTCGACGGCGCACGTGTGTGGAACGGGGATGTCCGCTGGCGGTGGTTTGGAGATTGCGTCTTCAGCGAACTTGTTGACGATGTCAATGGCTTTGGACTTCGAAAACCCCTGCATCCCGCCCTTGGAGTCGCCCATCTGTGGAGGCGGGCCAGCGACAATGGGCGTGCCACCTGTGCGCGACTTCGAAAGCGCCGCAACGTACTGCTTGAGATCGCCAATGTGCCTAGCTGCTTTGCTGGAAACCCGCGTGTTGGACTTTCTCCCTTCCGGTGCCGAAGAGAAAGTGGGCAACCGAACCTGCTTGCGTGGGGCGTCACGATCTGACCTGTCGGGGTTCAGCTGCACATACTCGCCCTTGACTCCATTCTCCCACATTTGTGCCAAGGTTTCGGGGGCCGCGAGCATGGATTCTTCCAAAACCTTGAGCGCCGTGCGGCCATCAGCAGAGATGATCTCCGTCCTACCACTCTCGCTCTGCAGCCTAAAAGGGCTTTCCTCGTCGGTAAGAATCTCGCACATCTTCTCGACGGACCTAGTCCTGTGAGCACTGGCGTATATCTTTCGGTTGTATACGACACTACTGCCGAACGCCTGCTTGAAATCCTGGACGGCGCGAGCAAAACGTTGCAGGGTGAGGCCGAGCTTCTGGAGGTACCCAATCTCCGTCCCTGTCGCCGCACCTTTATACTCCTTATTCATTGTCATCTCCTGGATCTCGTCGAGACCAGTGTTCTTGCCAGGAGTGCCAGAAAGCGACAAGCTAAACGTTTCGCTCATGAACGAACGCTCGGCAGGACTCATCCTACATATGTCGGCGAGGTGTTTGATACACAAGTCGTGATACTTGTATTTGTTGTATCCCAAGAACAGCGGCGCAATTCTGCGAAGTGCGGCCTCGCGCAGATCGAAGTCGCCTATTCGAATACCTGAGGCATGCCACGATGGGGGTGAACACGAAAACATCCGTCCGGTGAGGCGCCAGGCCCCATGTATTCAAAAAAAAAAAATTCCCAAGAACAGCGGCGCAATTCTGCGAAGTGCGGCCTCGCGCAGATCGAAGTCGCCTATTCGAATACCTGAGGCATGCCACGATGGGGGTGAACACGAAAACATCCGTCCGGTGAGGCGCCAGGCCCCATGTATTCAAAAAAAAAAAAGAAAACAAAACTTGGGGTGGAAAAAATTTGAAAAATGCCGCACTTCGGATAGCTTTTTTGAAGATCGAGTAAAATCTCGATCGAAATTATATCCGAATGGAGTTGACAACATTTTGGGCAGTTCGTAACGTTACGACCCTGCAATTAGACATAACGACTGCTCCCAAGTGCATCCCCTACTGTGGCATGCCTCACCTATGTAGAGCGCCAGGTAGGCCATCCCGTCGACAAGAAGCATTTCCACCCACTGTCCAAACGTCTTGTGTTTCGTCCGGTCAGTCGTATACACGAGCAGCTCTGCGATAACCTGCTCGTTGCTCATAGCGGACGCGCTCGAACCCCCCACCTCGCTAATACAGGCTTTCCACACCGCTTCCAATACCCCGACGAACACGTTGTGCCGATTGTGGTAGTCCCTCTTCTCCAACTTGTTGTTGTAGCAATCACTCAGCTTGGCCAATGGTATGATGCCGAACCCGCCCCATTTCAGGAACATAACGTCCAGCGTGTGCTCAAGGAGGTGCCAGTCGCCAACCCAAGGGATCGCCCAAGCAAACTTGACCTCATACTTTTGCTTGGCCTTGTGCAAAAGGTTAAACGTTTCCTGGTCACCTACAATGACTGCACGCCTCCTTCCGTTTTCTGCGCCCACATGCAAAACTTGCTTCAGCCCGTCCAGGTAGTCTATGATGTCGGGTAGGGTTTTCGTTCCTGATTTGATCACTCCAAGGTAGGTCGTCTTCACGTCCGACGGTACACGACGGCCCTCAACGCCCACCATGCGCTCTGCATCCGCGTCACTGATGACCTGTCTGGCCACCTGAACCTCGAAGTCCCCGTCCGACTTGGCTGAATCACGACGCACGCACGCAACAACTCGATGCCGAAACTGACTCCAGATAGCCAAAAGCCGTTCATTCTCGACCCCGAAATCGCGGGCAAAGTCTAGGCGAGGGGGGACGAACGAAAGCTCGGCAACCTTTCCCCGACTTGCCAAAACAGGGAAGTAAGCTATGGCAGCGATGAGATCGACGTGTCCACCTTTTCCCCAGTGCCTCAACACATCTAGATTGAGATTGTCGAAACTCGCTGCCACTAGTGCCGCTGTCAGAGGAACCAGCTTCTTCATCTCGGTTTCAGTGCCAAGGATGTCCGCCAATCTCGTTCGCAACTTCCACAAATGGTTGTCGGTTTGGGTGATCTTCAAGCTGTTCGCCAGGAAATCCAACCCATCCCGTTGCATCCCCTGGTCCTTGAGGAAGAGGCCCAAGATGTTGGCATTCTTGTACCAAGTGTCGTGGGCAAACGATGTCAGCACTCCCGCTAATAGGCATTGGCGGCTGGCTCGCGCCGTTGCCACGCCGTCACCATTGGCATCCTCCATCGAAGGGTAAGCGAGCTCGTCCAGAAAAGCGACGAGTACGGGGGGCACTTTGTCTTTCCACTCCACCACTGGGTCCGAAAACGTCAACGGAGCTCTGCCGTTCGCCTGGTCAAACACTATAACGTTGCTCTCTCTAGCGTACTCGTCGGTGGCTTTCCGCAGTATCATTGCCGCACTGCGCAAGGTGTCCTTATCATCCGGTTCCCGTGAGGTGCTTATCCTGTTCAGGAGGGCTACCTCCTCCTCCAACTTCTGTACTTTTGGTCGGAAAAAACGAAGAAAGCAGCCATACGGGGCCCCCAGCAACGCCTGTGCTCGGATCGATAAGGAGAGGCTCCGCCACTTGGTAGGTAGGGCATCACATATGTTAGTCATAGCCGCGTATCCCCGCAGGTTCCCCAACGAGCGGATTGAACGGGGACACCACACGTCTTGCACAAATCAAGGGCCTTGCTGCGGCGTTTTTGTATGTCGAAAAGAGTTGGAGCTCTACCCTGCTCTGAAGAAGAAAATCCTCCACCCACTCACCGCCGTAAAGTCATGGAGACCAATGGCAGCAACCAACCGGCCGATGGGAGCAAGGTGAGCCAGCTGGTCGGTGTCAATTCTCCCTGTTACCCTACCAAAGAGCATGATATTTTTCTGTTTACTTCGAAACACATGGCATCGCCGGCGTGATGTGTGGACGTCTTGCTAGACCATGCCCATGAAGACCATGCCGCAATTGTTGCTTAGGGGGAAAGCTTAGTAGCAACCACGAGGCAGATCTCTTCTCGCGCCAGGCAGGGGCTTGCTGCAGCAGGATGTGTATGCAATGGTTTACAACAGCAGTAGATTCGTTAGATGTTGGTGTCGTGTGAGGTGGTGAAAGTACCGTTCCACGCGTCGTTTCGCGAAAGCCACCTGGGTTGCACTGCGGGTTACGGTTGCAGGCACATCATTGCAAAGAAAGTGTCCTGTGTACCACAGCCAGCAGCAATTGCTTTCAAACATACCCGGCGATCAGACCTTGGGCAAGGTCACCGATCGTGCAAAACTCTAATGGATGTGTTGTTCATTAGAACCGAATACCCACACCGCGAGTATTCCTCCGCGTTCCCTGGGGCAATGGAAATTTGAACAGCAAGCAGTCCAGGAGAGCGGAATATTGTTGTTTTGGGTACGGCAGAGTACATCTGCAGAATGCGCAGCGCTGCAAGTGCGGATGTCGAAGCACACTCCCGAGAGCAGCCCGTGGTTGTTCTTCCTGTCAGCGATAGGCACTCGTGTTCTTTATGCGGCACATCGCACATCGTGTCTACAGCAGTACTCTACTGCTGTCTGCTGTCGTACCACCACCGCTGTTGTTGCGGACTCTACTGCTGTACTTGGCGTTCGTTGGTTCCAGAACGTAACCACTAAGCTGTAGATAATTGCTGTCCGGGCGTACACAGCAGTAGGAAGTCAGGAACCGCTCCGCAAAAAGGGGACTTGTTCTCGTATACCACATCGCGTCAACTCTCAGACACGAGGGTTGCCCCAAGAAGTTTCGCCGCCAAGTACTTGGAGCAGCAGCTGCGGTATGTATATGGTTGCGACGATATAGTCGTAGAAGTACTATTATCAGTGTCTTGTTCTCATGTTGTAAACCTGGAACAGGTGATCCGCGCCTCCGCCGCCAAGCTGCAAATAACAGTGGCCGCCCCTGACCGTCCCAACTCACACGCTTTCTCCGTGTGCTTCTGCTGTGTCGTGCGTGCAACCGTATCGGATTGTTGATGTACGCTCCAATTAATTGACGGAATGGACGCCTGCAGCTTGAAGAAAACGCGGCCTTCATGGACAAGTACAGTCGGCAGATCGGCGCCTTTGGGCTGGAAGCCATGTCCAAGCTCATGAACCTCAAGGTTCTCATCGTGGGTCTCAAGTGCGTACCGCGTACCGTACCGTATACCATGGTATTCCGTACCATCTTGCTTTCTCCTATGCCTTGTGTTTGTCGGAACGAACAAGGGTACATTGTTATAGAGACATAGCTTCCCTTTTTGATGTCATCTCCGCAAGGTATCAACACGCCGCGCATCCACATCCCATCCGACGCTTGCCAAGAAAAGACGCCCCCACATTCCGCAGTGCCATGTCAGCTGCACCACACCCGCCATACCAACAGCAGCAGCGACATCGACTCGACGGTCTGCCTGCAATGTATGATAAATTCTTTCGTTGTTCGTGCACCACTCGTTTCTTCGTGAGAAGGGGGCTTGGCGTGGAGACATCCAAGAACTTGATTCTAGCGGGGCCTGGATTGGTGAGCCTTTGCGACGACGAGCCCGTGGCAATGCCAGACCTCGGGGCGAATTTTTTCCTGACGGAAGCGGACGTAGGAAAGCCCAGAGCGAGGTGAGAGCTTGTCGCAATATTTTTTTTCCTCCAAAGCTTGACAGCAGTTTCGGTAGTCGCTACTTGTAGGTCACCCTCATTACTGCATTGGCGCAAAATTCCTCATGTTTGCATATAAGTGATTGTTTGCTCAGTGGGCTTGAGAGCATGCCATTGCGATCGTGTCAACCGGTTTTGGTGGAACGGTACCACAACGATTCGATGTCGCGTCCCGTCTGGCGCTCGCCATGCGTTTCTCCAGCAGTACGGATACCCTCTACGCGCGCGTCCGATGGTCGCCGCATGTCCTTCTCCACCCTCTCCTCTCCCCACCCTTTGTAGAAGAACGTGTGTGCCACGGAGAGCATTCAAATAGCCGTTCCCGTCTTGTTGCTACAATTCATCCCCTCTCGGACCTGTTTCCCGTCTGCCCGTATCGTGTACACAGCGTGCGCTATGTATCCCCCGAGTTCCCTCGCCCCTTTTCTTCACCTCATCTGAATACATGTGTATTTTCGTCGCCCTTGCGCACCTTGCCCTGCAGCTGCGTCGCCAGGAAGCTCCAGGAGCTGAACTCGATGGTGACCGTGAAGGTGGTGTCGGGAGGGCTAACGGAGGAGACCGTCGGCTCTCACGGGGTGGTGGTGATGTGCGGTCGTTCGGGGGCAGAGGTGGCCAAGTGGGACGCCTTCTGCCACGAGAACGTGAGTAAGACGGGCTTGGCCGGGCTGGGCCTGCAGCCTCGTGTCTATCTTGCTCTCGTAAGTAAGCAGGGTTTGGGTGAGGGTAGCAACCTGCGTTGAGTGACCAACCGTGCCTGCTTGCAAGCACAGTTGGGGATAGGGCGGCAACTTGCGTTGAGTGACCAACCGCCGTGCCTGCTTGGAAGCACGGCCAGCCCTTGTGCTCGATCCCGCCAAGAAGAGAAGGAAAGCTCTAGCGACGTCACGTGTTTGTGTATTATTCTTCCCCATTCCGCACTTCGCTTTGCTTCAACTTCACCTCACTATCTCGTTTGGTACCTGCTTCATTGTAGGCCGTGTGTCCTTGCCGAGACTCCTGCTGTGTTTTCCCGTGCCTTCTTGTTACCCTGTACACGGGTAACATTTCGTATATGCTACTCTTTTTCTATGTAAATCGCGTAGTGAGCTGCCTAGTTTGTTCCTTTTTTCTTGTCTTGCTCAATGATTGTTCTAATCCATGGCTGATCGGTTCAGCGCATTTTTTCGTCAATAATGATGTTTATTACCGCTACTTTCGACCATGGCTGTGCTCCGGTGTTTTCTCACCATATATTCTTGTTTGCGATACGAAAGGGCTCGATCTTCATCTCGGCGGGTACGATGGGTGCCTTCGGTTTCGTGTTCAGCGACTTCGGGAAGGCGTTCTCCGTGCGGGATGTCAACGGAGAGGCCCCCACCAGCCGCATCATCACCGATGTGAGAGAAGAGGTCAACGCTACGCTACTTTGCATGACCAGGCATTTGCTTTTGAAAGCTACGCGTTCGCCGAATCGATTGTAGTTGACGCCATTATTTTTTCCACAGCTAGTCCAATAGAGCCTTGAAGGGGCGACCGCGTCCGCCTCCATCTGCACTATCCTCTTGTTAGTTCTCTACCGCTCACCCTTGCACTCGTGATGAAATGAGTGTCTCCGTCTCTGAAGCAGTTTGGCTGATGTTGCCTTTGATTTGTATCTCTCAGCTGCGGGTGGTGTAGGCCTTAGCGGCAGCGGTTTCGCCTTCGCATAACGGTAGTTCGTTTCCTAGTCGGAGTAATATTGAAATGGCATGGCAGATCTTGACTTAGACCTAGACCTAGCCCGAGATGGGATGGTCAAGAGTAGCCTCGTGGAATTCATCGTAGTCTATCTATGTATCTCTTGGTCTGGACGTGGGCGTCGTCCTACGCATGCACCCCCATCCCCCCTCTCGTCCTAGTTCCGGTGCAAACCTGCTCCCTCTGTGAAATTTATTAAACACATGACAAGTGCAATATCATGCGCTTATATTCCTTATCGTACTATCGTACTTGGTGTGCGTCATGGTGACGGTGGTGACGTCCCTCGATGCAGATATCTTTGGAAGAGGAGGGAGTCATCACGCTGCTGGGCGCTTTCGGGGAGGACGGCGGTCGGATGCACGGCATGGAGGAGAACGAGGTACAGCGGTGAATCACCCTACAATGTGCGCTATGTAGACCACGCTTTGTGTGGGGGGAAGTCAATATCGACTGACTGAAGGGACTGCTTCCCGCCCCGCTACTTCAACCGCAGCTTCCTGAGGAGGATCTTATCCAATGGGATGCTCTGCTACAGGTGGTGGTCAAGAGTAGATGGGTGTGCATAACAGCAAAAGCAGCCAGCGCCCCAACATTTCGTCGCGATCAGTTAGACATACGCAGGCTGGCAAGTGTTAATGACGCAAATGCAGCGGAGCACCCAGCACCCCAGTATTATTGCCGTCGTCACCCGTGAGACATACATTGTCAACAGGTAGGCAAAGGGTGGCGTGGGTGGGGTACTATGACGCGGTGCCTCTCTTGGTATTCAGCACAGGCGATGGTGCAGTGTCGAGGGCTATTTTGGAACGCCTTCGCGCGACTAGCACGTTTATGAGCAAATAGAACAAGGAGGGAGTACGCACACCTCATACCCTAACCCTAACCCAAGCCCAACTTCCCCGATTGCATGCTTTTTCCATCATGTTAAGTTAATCGAAAAAACCTGCCAAGGCCACTGGCTAGTATTTTTCTTGTGCCTGAGTGTGGCCCAGGCGGCCGCGCTGCCTGTGCCACCCAGCTACCGTGCCGTGATCATCAATTGGTACTTCTGAGTCGCATGAAGGGATTTGCCGGTTGCTGATGATGATGTCGATATCCGCGTCTGAGTTTCGGACATTTTGTGGTGGGCGTGCTTTTGCGTTACGTGTGTGTGCATGGCACCACGGTTTTGGCAGCACCACGGTTGGATCGAGCTGTCTGATGTGGAGGGGATGGTTGCTAAGGACGGCAGCGGCAAGACAATCAACGATACGGGCAAGATCAAGATAAAGACATGCACCAAGAAGGTACGGCGTGTTCATCTGCACCAGTAATGGATTGATACCACGACGTACATGGCGAGAACCTGTGGGATATCATTCCTCTCTACTTCAGCGATGTCCTGTACAGACAAGTGGCATGTTTCCCATTGAACACTGTGTTTTGTTAATGTGAAACAAGATGCTTCGGGATGAATATGGGATGGGATGGGATGGGATGGACGGTTTTGCTGACAGGGTCCGGGAAAGCTTTTTAAGACGGTCCTTACAAGACGGGAAAATCCGCTGTCTTGAGCGAGAAATATATGCCGCAGACAAGTCTTGTCTAGCCGTGTACAATACTTGACAACGTTGTGTGTGCGCCTATCCACTTACCACATGCTCGTGTCTTTTGTGTTTGGCCAGGTGTACGGCGTGTTGTGTGTGATGACGTCATTCATGTGTTCGTCTCGCAAACAGCCTCAGATGGTTGATGGACACGTAAATTCCGCTCTTTCTGGTTACCTGTCCGGGTGTTTGGTTTGCCCAGGTGACAGTTACGGAGGAGAAAGACGGCAAGAAGGAGACCAAGGAGAAGACCGTCTTCGACCCATACCGCCTCAAGATGTGCCTGGACACGACCAGCTTCTCCGCCTATGAGAATGGAGGGATGATGAACCAGGTACTGTACGCGCGGTGTCTCAACTACGCTACCGACATGGCGCTTCGCTTTTGGTGTGTTCCTCTGAGTGTATGCGGTTTGAACCGTTTTGTTTCCAACTCGACGGAGTTGATGTTGCCGAGACAATTCATGTACAGTATGTTCGAGGAAGCACGTGTTTGGGTGGAGTATTCTTCATCCTGCCGCTGATCCTGAAGCTATTCCAATTCTAAACCTTCGTTTCCTCTTCCTCCCTCAGAATACAGGCCGTACCCCAATCATGCAAGCACCATACCTCTGGGAGAAACGCACTGAGAAATTCTCATGTTCCCCAGGCTTGCGCGTCGTGCACTGGTTTGCTGATGAGGTGTTGTCCCAGACCGTAGCAAGTTCTGCTCGCACCAGATACAGTACAGTACCGTATGCATACCACGTAACACCGTAACAAGGACCTCACATCTTGTGGGTGTCAACGTGTCTACGTGTCGTAGCTCAAGCTACACCCCCACACCGTGGTCATCCCCCGCGATACGCTGCTTCACCGTAACATGTTCTTTTGTGTGTGATATGTATGCACTTCGTGTAGTTTACAGCTCGCCATGGGGCTTACCGCGTCCCTCTACTCACTACCATGAACCTGCTTGGCGTTCCATGGGATGCTGCGTGGTGTGCCATTGCATGCATGTTCGTGCTTTCATTTCAGGTGAAGGTCCCCGTGACCAAGAACTACCACCCGCTCCAGAAGCGCTTGGTCCAGCCGGTGAGAATGACGGGAAGAATTGCCACTAATCTTGACTGTTTGTAGCACTGCCATCCACTCATTGGATCGTCTAAAGTATCCGAAAACGGGCGCAGAGGCTGTGTTTCGGGTGGGTGGGGGGTATGCATGGCCGCCGTCTCCAGACTAGAGAAACTGGAATAATCTTTGTGGCATGTCGCGCTGACTACGCTGGTGTCGGGAGGACAGCAGAGGACACCAGACGATACTTACCCCCCCCGGCCCCCCCCTGCTCCCGTATTGATGCACGTGCCTCGTAGACACGTGTTTCACTGAGTTTGTCGGTGATGTAGCTGTGTTATAGCTGCCGCAGTTCGTGACGGGAGTGTTGCAAAGGAAAGAAATGATTGAAATGACCGCTCCGCCTATGGCTTCTTGTCGCTTGGAATATACCTCGTCTCGGAATGCATTCACCTGGCATACCGGTATCACCGCTTGCATTTTGACGCCCGGGACATGTTGAACATGCTCAAGTATTTCCCAGAACATGTGTGTTTCGTGCGATCAGACAAGTCAAGAGGACCACACTTATAGTGGTGGCATTCCGCATACCATAGTACGGTTTGGTATTGTACGGTGTGGATTTTTTTCATGTTCTTGTTCTTGTTTGGTCATGTCTTTGTTTCCCTCTGTCTGTTGGAAGGTGCCTGAGGGGGAGTTCGGCCTTCTATTCACGGACGGCTCCAAGTTCGGGAGGGCGGAGCAACTCCACCTGGCTCTGCTGGGACTGTGGGCGTTCGAGAAGAGGGAGAAACGCCTGCCGCAGGCTGGGAACCCTGAGGAAGCGGAGGCTGTTGTCAAGCTCGTCGAAGAGGTGATGATGGTTTTTCGTTGTTGTTCGGATAATGGTTTTTCTGCGCGGCGAAAGCGCATCGATCCGTGGTAGGTACAGAGGTACAGAGGTACAGAGGTACAGTATTCCAAGGATGTTGTGTGTGTTTGTTTTCTCCGCGTTTGCACCGTCCAAGAGTATGTGTGACGAGGGATTCATCGCTTTTCCGGCTGGATCCGTATGGGAGGCGGACGTGCTACGCAGCGTGTTTGCTCGAGGCGTGAAGGCGAGAAGAACCACCGCACAACGCATGCACATCAGTACCTGGTAGTCCGTTTTAAAGTCTTTCGATGGTGTATTTTGTGGTATTTCGTGTTGTGTGCTGTGGCGTTTCATGGTATGGTGTCATCCCGTTCACTCTGAACGGCATCTGGTCTTCCACAATGCTTTGTTGTGCTCAATTTAGGGCCGCCCACCATGTTTGCGTTGTTCTGCCCATCTTGTCTCTTCCTTTGGAAACTCCCTTCCCCTGGCAAAGGTGAACGCGGAGCACAAGAAGCTTAACGAGGCCACCGAAGGATCCGCTCTCTTCCTGGAGGAACTTGACAAGGTATTTCTTTCATCCAGGGAGCGGCTTCCGTAAAGAGCATTCGGTTTTCCACTCCGCAACCCAAACTTTTCCGTCGACCGCAAACCTTGTCCACGTTGCCTTTTACCGGACGGTACTATATATCGTAGCCGTAGCTTTGACTCAACGCCACGATGGTCTATGGCCGTCGGTCGGGATATTCTATCAGGTGTCATGTCCTCGTAAGGAGTGCGTGCTTAACGACCCACCTATAACAGCGCCAGCGCTGCATCGTTGAACACACCCCGCCTCTACCCCCGTTCGTATTCCCCTAAAATGCTGTACCTATGCGTCTATCTTGTACCGCCGCGGTAATTAATTGCGCTTTTGTGTACCACACCGCACTCTACCGTACCGTACCATGCCGACCATACCGTGCCACACCGTTTCGTGTCTTACCTGGCCGTACCGAACTATACCGTACCGTATCGTACTATTCCGCCAGGACACTATCCGGAAGGTGGCGCTGTACGCTTCTGTGGAGGTACAGCCCTTGGCGGCCTACTTCGGTGGGGTGGTCGCTCAGGAAGTCGTCAAGGTCACGGGCAAGTACACACCGCTCGACCAGTGGCTGCACCTCGACTTCTTGGAGGTGTGTATATCATAGATGTATGCATTATGCTATGCTGTGCGCGTTTGTATCAAAATGTTTGGGAGGTATGCTTGTATGCGCGTGTGTACAATAATATTTCGCTCGCCTGCACTTCCACCTTGCTTGCCGGTGCGATAGATGTGGCAACGTGAAAATTCACTTGTATTTTCGCCAGCATGAAATAACTCAACTTTATTTCAATCGTGGTCGATTCGATGCCTTGTTTGGTGGCATGGGATGGGATGGGACGGGACGGGTTGGTATCCAGATGCTGCCCGATGAGGTCGCCGAGGACGGAGCGCCTACTGGGAGCCGGTACGACCACATGATCCGCCTGTTCGGTCGGAAGTTCGTGGAGGACAAGATTATGAACGCTAGGACCTTCATGGTAATTTTACTTTTTGCGCTATTGATGGTCGTGATAGTGGACGCTACGCTAGGACATCAGAATAGAATGCCATTTAGGACTCTCAGGTAATTCATGGCAATGACGCTATTATAGTAGGACTTTCAGTGCAATGAACGCTTCGCTAGAACTTGATGGTAAAGAACGCTTTGATAGGACTCTCATGGTCGCGTGAATGCTAGTGGGATATTCATGGCAATGAACGCTATGCAGCAGTAGGGCTGTCATGGCAATGGACGTATTAGGACTCCGATGGCGACGCCATGAGGCGATGAGCTTGCCGGCCTTGGTTGACGGCATTTTTGGTGACACAGCAAGTGTAGGAGCTGATGGTGAAACGACGTTGGTGGTGGCGTAGTGAAGGTTATTAAAGCGGGTGTATCCTGTGCTATACCGAGAGGCACTTGTGTCAATCGGTTCGCTTTTGTAAGCTGCCACTCTTGGTATATCAGCGATAGCGTGTGTAGCGTGTGTGACTGCCAACAAATTTGGGGCGTAGGTGTGTCTTGTCTAAACATGCCAACCAACATGTTTTACATGTCTGTGAACGTGAACGTCAGGTGGGATGCGGTGCTCTCGGGTGCGAGTTTTTGAAAAACTTCGCTCTGGTGGGGCTGGCTTGCGGCGAGAAGGGAATGATAACCGTCACGGACAACGACAGGATTGAGGTATGGTATCGTATGGCATGATATGCAATGTCATGATATGGTCGATAGGATAAGATAGGGTATGAAAGGGCCCCAAGTATGGTAGAAGCGAGAACAAATGACGCTAATGGGCTTCTTTAAGTCATGAGAGAGTCTGATGTGTTTTGGTTTTGATGAACGTAGTGAGTTCTGCAGCGCGCAGTCCGCCCTTGGTGTACACCTGTAACACACTCGATGATTGTATTATTTTAGCGCTTTCAACTCTACAATGTTTTTCGTGGGAGAAAGCCGGAGCAAGCTGTCCGTGGTCGTTCTGTTGTTTTTCCCCTTGATGTTGCTGTTGCTGTTGCTGTAACTTCCGTGCTTCTCGATGCCGTTGTTTCGAGTTTTTCCGAGAGGACGTGGTACAGCAGTACACATTTGTGCTTCAAGCAACAATCACGATGTTATTTTTGAGAGGTACGTTGGCCTGTCCTCGTCCATATCGTGTCTTTTCGCGTTTGTGCTTGAATGTTTCCCTATCTTGTTGTCGTTTTTGTCATATCTCAACCTTGTACCGACCCCACAACCCGCTGATTTCATCTTGTGTTTGGTTCCGATCCCGCCCCAACAGGTGTCCAACCTGAACCGCCAGTTCCTGTTCCGAGAACACAACGTGGGTCAGGCAAAGAGCGCCGCCGCTGCGGTAGCCGCCAAGGCCATGAACTCGACCATCAAGGTTAGTAAATGGGTCAGTCGGACAGTGCGCTGCGCTACTTGGGAAGAAAAATTGTGTGAGCGACGTCACGCCACGCGTGAATGGAGCGGTTTCGCGCGATTTATTGTCTCGGGCGTAGGTACACATATATAATGTTGTGTGCTGTGTTGGTAGGTACACTTACCCCGACTGTCTTTTATTGCCTCACTTTTTTCACATGCCACCAAGCATGGCATTGAAAATGTTCTGCACCTTCGCGGCCAGCGGTTCCAACCGTTGTTGAAGTCGACAGCTGGAAACGAAACACACGCCTTTCATTGAAACCTAGGTTGATTTCGAATTCTTCCCGTAGTGGTTGGCCCCTAGCAGCGACACTGGTTTTAGCTCGCCCACCGTTTCATCTCTTCAAAGTACGGCGTGCTGATATGCCGTAGACGAAATTTCGAAACGTTTTGTTGAGTGAGTTGTGATTGGATGGAGGGCATGTATTTGGCTGTGGTTTTATTGGCATGCCATCTCTTGTGTCACCTCTACAAATCTACGCTGCCCTCTGTTCATGCCGTGACTGGGGGAGCCCTTGCTGTTGGCGTTTTCGATGCGAGGTGTTGCCGTGCAGGTAGTGTAAGTCATGATTGGTTTTCGTGTGGTTATGTGCGAAGAAAATCGTCCTCACGATGTCCATGCGTGCCGTAGTGCAGCAGCTGCACACAGCTGGCATTGATTGTGTGCCAAGAGGCAAGAGGCGTGCATCCTCCGCTATCTGTGCGATACATACGGTAGAGTGTGTGGTTTGTGGGTCGCCTCGTGTGTCAACATGTGTCAAAATGTGCATCAAAACGAGGACGACGTCGTGGTTATTTTGGTGGTATTGCTTTGCTGCGTGTGCTTCGAAGGTGTGATGGTTGTGTTCAATGGTTTTTCTCTGCGATTGTGATTCGGCGTGTATCTGTGTGTCTTGTCAGCTGGACGCGCGAGAGGACTTTGTGTCTCCAGGAACTGAGAACCTGTTCCAAGACAAGTTTTGGGAAGGCCTCGACTTCGTCACCAATGCCCTGGACAATGTTAAGGCCCGCCTCTACGTCGACTCGAGGTACGCCCTGTCTATCTGTATGTCTCTCTGCCCCTCTCTCTGCCTGTCTTTGTTCTTTCTGTTCTGTCTCTGCTGCCGGATGTCTGCTCGTCAAGTGCGAGAATGACAACGTGTTGGTGTTGGTGTTTGCATTGATTTCAGTTATCTGTTGCTGCTGCCGTTTCGTTTTTTGCGGTTACAGCAGTACTGCAGTGAACCATTGGCACATGGCATTTATGATAGTTCCACCCACACCGATACCACGTCGCGTCTTTGATACTCGAGGTGTTTCTAGGTGTTTCTTTTGGGGATGTGCCCGCAGGTACGACGGTATCATACATTGTTGAGGCCAAAGCATCGTCAAACGACGCACCCTTCAATCTACCTATGCCCAGGGTGGATGGACGTGGCGCTGCACTTTCAATGGCATAATCACATAATCCCAAGAAATCAGTCCTGTGCACGGCTTGTTAATTTTGCTGTGTGCGTTGATGAACGAGTGCAGCGTTAGTTTGATGGCCCTGACACACGTCTGTTCTTCGCAAACCAACGGACCGTTCAACGGGGTTCGTTTGAACTTGATTTGTTGATTCGTGCCGCCGAAAACAGGTGCGTATTCTACGGCAAGCCTCTGCTGGAGTCGGGTACCCTCGGCACCAAGTGCAATGTGCAGGTGAGGAGGAGAGCACGGGCTCGCTCTTACTCCAGAGTGAAATTTTTCGCCAATGACAGTGACCGATTGCCCGACTTCTGCCAAACGCGAGCGTTCATCCGCGATATTCTGTAGTGCCGACGATGTGCTCGTTGGTTGGAGACAGTGTTTTGCTGTTGGATGTTGCAAGACCGCAGGAGCTACAGTACTTCGACATACTAAACGTTGTGAAGGGCAAGAGCTTTTGAGATGCAAAGTGTATGAACTGCGAAGACACCTCCCCCATTCATGTTTATTGTTGTCCCGGTTACAGTAGTTTCCATATCCCGTACAGGGTCCCATGTTGGATGCAGCGCGCGACTCGATTGTTGTACACACGGCTACAGCACGATGACTCTGACTTGGCCTGCTCTGTCGTGCAATGTCTCTTGTCTTACCACCTAACCACCACACCGCAGGATGCTTGTTTTTGTATGTCCGAAGTCTTGGCGTATTCACATCGTGTTTGAAATTCATGGTACAGGAGGATAGCGGCATGCGTGGCGTGATGCGTGATGATGGACCTGTCCTTTCCGCTTGTGCCCCTCTTGATGTCGTGGTATCCCTGTCGTGGTATGTCGTGGTATCGCTTTCGTGGCGATGATACATGTGCAATATCATGTGTCATGCATCAGGGTAGGTGGGGCCATTGGTTGTGCGGATGATGCTCCGACTTCTCCCTATGACAGTTTACCTGCTTGTGCTCGTGCGCTGCATGGTGTGGTCGATCTTACGCACGTGGTTGTTCTTTTCATGTGCATAGACGGCGTTGTGATCCTTTGGCCGTGCGCATGCTATACACGGCGTTGGACACACAGGTAGTGGTACCTCACGTCACCGCGAGCTACGCGGACGGGCCGAAGGATGAGGCTGACGACGCCATCCCCATGTGCACGCTCAGAAACTTCCCCTCCCTCATCGAGCACTGCATCGAGTGGGCAAGGTAGGGAGGGATGTCGCCCCATTGTTATTGTTCAGAACCCACGTCGTCGATACGTGCACACGTTGGGCCCTGCCGTCCGTACGCGCATCAATTAGTAGCGTTGGGTAGTGCATGATTTCGTTCACGTGTCCTGTGTCCCGCATGGGGCTGCAACTTGCTACATGTCGGTGTCACGGTGAACGGTGGGGGAGGGAGGAGGTTAGCCGCAGCTAGCCATGTCTAGATCCCCTTGCTCTGACGTGACGTCTTGTTATCTGTCTATACCCTTGTCTGCCACGGCTCGTCATCTGTCTATACCCTGTCTGCCATGTGTCAGGGCTCAGTTCGAGGATCTGTTCGTCGGACCCTTCTCAGAGGCCAAAAAGTTTTGCCAAGACAAGGAGGCTTATCTGAAGCAGGTGTGGTATGGTATGGTATGGTACGGTATGACATGGTATGGTACACAGCGTATCGAAGGACATCAATAATACTGTAAAAAAACAAGTTTAAGACGTACATCCGTGCTGAAACGTACACTCATACGCGTGTCTTTGTTAATAGTTCAATATCAATGTCCTCCTTTCAAATAGTCAAATAGTGTCAAACAGTGAGGATCCAACGGCAAGAGAAAACAAACGTATGTACTCCTACTACACTCCTCAGAGGAAGGTTGCGTTGTGTGTGTGCAGCTATATCCTATACACCCCGACTGATGACTGCAAGTACCCTGAGGGCTCGCCATAAGGTGGGATCTACCGGAATAGTAAGGGCGACATCAGTCGTGCTTTACCCTGCCAGCTCTCATTGCTACATTGCCACAGCAGCTGTCATTCTAGGAGCTATCGTTCCGGCGGTATATATTGGATGGGTTGACTTCCCATCTGCGCTTTCTACGGTGTAGTGAAATGCGCCTTGCATCCTCTTGGAAGGGCGATCGGTGTGCAAGTGCCGCACTTTAAATCTACCACCGGGGCGATACTTTATCGCATCTTGTTGGCTTTCGAAGCCTAACAAGTGCCCTTTCCACCTTAGTATAACCTATCATCAATCGTGGCCTTGCCATGGCTTGTCTGTGGCTGGGTGCTCCAACAGGTCCAGGAGGCTACCTTGGATTGCGATAACAGGGGGAAGGCCGCCTCAGCCACCGCCAAGGCTCTCGAGGACCTCACCAGGCTTAGGACCACCCTGGCCTTCGCGGACGGAGCGACGTTCGAGTCGTGCATCCAAGAGGCGTGCTGGCGTTTCTACGCCCTGTTCAGGGACAAGGTGTTGCAGCTCACGCACAACTTCCCCGAGGTGATGGTGACGGTTTAACTTTGTTGATTTTGGTTGATTTTGGCTTGATTTGTTTGGCGTTGGCGGTCTTGCTTGCGGTCAAGACGTAAACTTGGGCGTGAACTAATGAATCGTGAGTACCGTGAGTATCATGGGTCATTTGCTGCCGCGAGGTTGTGGTCCTTGCGACTGCCGCCGGTTGCATGCATGCATGTCCCCCGCTTGACCATATTGACGACTGCCTCTGCCACTATGATGTGTAGCACGGCCGTGCGACCGGGCTTTGAACAAACTACTCGTGCCTGATGATCGACGACCTAGGCGGCACGCACGATATCCACCACACACAATACATCGAAGACGCAAGAGGAAAACGCATGATGACAACACACACGACGCACGCACTTCTGTGACGCCCCGACAACCGCCGGTCTGTAACTGTAACAGGACCACGTTCTCGAGTCCGGGGAGAAGTTTTGGACCGGAGCAAAGCGATTCCCGCGGTCGGCGGACCTGGAAATGGACTGCGAGCAGCACGCGGCCTTCGTTCTCGCCACCGCTAACTTGCTGGCGGCCTGTTGCGGCCTGTCCCCCCAGGAGGAAGGCCTGCTTCCGTTGGAACACCCACAACGCAACACGGAAGGTGCGCGTTGTATGTACGGTTATGTCTGCTGCCATGCAAGTACGGGATGGATTTTGCAGTTTCTTGATATTGTGGCGGTTGGGTTTCCTTTTTTTTTTTAGGGGGGGGGAGTTGAAATATTTACGTTTCACGGAAAAAGCCTGATGGTTGTCGTCTTAGTTTCGCCTTTGGCGGTTCCGGTTATGACGAAATTCGGGGAAAGCTAGTCAAACATTCTGATTGATTCTCCTGACGTGATTTTTCTTCTTTTTCTCCTGACGTGAAAAATGCCGGGCGGTCTTTCTCGTGCTACAACAATCGCAATCCAAAGGACCCTTAGTAATTTTGATGTTCGAACATGGTTCATATCGGGCCTTTAGTGCAAAGCCCAAGAAAACAAGGGTCGTTGTTTTGGCGGGTGGATTGTCGACTGCTGTTGAGAGGGTGGGGTTTTTTGGTGTTGAGTCTTGACCGATTGTTACTGTTAGACTATGTGTAGTAATTCAATGAGTAGTTGCCCGCGCCGTTTCCGACGGCTGTGTCTGCATAACACAGAAAAAAGACTCTCCGGTCTTTGTTGAAGCGAGCCATGACGAAACCAATCGCATCCGGCATTGTCGTTGTTGCTGTGGGGTTCATTCTGTGTTCTGCTTCACCCACTCATCGCTGCGGTTGGCTGCTCTCCGCTGCTGTGCTTTGCTTTGCTTTCGTTTTCCTTTTTTTTCTCGATGGTGGGTGTGATGTGTTGCACTAGCCGTGCGGAGGGTGGCGTCGGCGATGGACGTGCCCATGTGGGAGAACACCGGAGAGAAGACAGACCTCAGCGAGGAGAACGAATCCAAGCCGGGAGACAAGACTGAAGAGGTGGGTACCGTTTATGACACAAGATAACACACCCCCTGGACCAATTTTCAAAGCTCGATAATGCGACAACGAAGAGGATGCGTAATGAAACAATGCATTTTCGGAAAGCTCTAGATGAGACAGTTTCAAAACCACCGTTTTCCGCGCTGTAACTCTTTCTGCTGTCGAGAAACCGAGATTTGAAAATCGGTCCAGGGGGTATGTTATCTTGTATCATCTATGGTACAATACAGTGTCGACTGTTCACCATTGTACTTGGAAGCAACTAACAGCAAATGGGGTTATTTACGTCGCTTCCGTGTTTCTTGTATACATAATGTTGTTGTAATGTTGGTCAAATTAAGCGACATCAACGCCCACCCTATTTCACTTGGTTGGTTTCGTTTTCCGTTTGTTTGTATTTTTGTAACGGCTTCTGAGGTCGCGACCAAAAGTTGTTCACAACATCATGAGCGCGACATCCTGTGTAGGTAGACTTTAAGACTTGGGACTGAGGCTTGGCAATACTGCATGGTCTCGCCATCCTCTCATGGTGCTCTTTTGTTGAACTGTGATTAATCTCGGTGATGAACTTATTATCGGCGGTATGAAGGGCAACACCCTCACGGTGCTATGTTACGATACTTAGCGTGACATCGTGTTGTTGTGATCCGCGAGAATACTTACATTACTTACATTACTTTCAATTATTGCAATATTACCCAGCCGGAAGACCCCGTGGACCTCGAGGGAGCTTCGACGGAGCTTTCGAAGCTGCTAGATGAGGTGGGCCGCGTATTCCCATGCCATCTCATGCCTAACTTTACTGAATGAAAAGTGCTTGCTAGCTAGACATTTGATTCCGACGATAATTTTTTTTCCATGAATTGAATTGGGCTCCGTGAGTGTAGCACACGAAGTGCAAAATAATGAATTTTGACAGTCATTGTAGACGCATTTGTTATCCTTCAGTCGTCCATCGTGTCCGATGGGTAGCTGACTCGCTGTAACTTCTGCGCCGGACTTGTGCTTGTGTATTCGTACCTGAGTCTGGCCTGTGTCCCACCATGACTTGTGCACATGGTCGCGTGTGCGGTTTGGGCGTTTGGGCGTTTGGGCGTTTGGGCGTTTTTCATGCTTGGTTTTGTCATGTGTTGTGTGTGTGGTACCTTTTGGGCGCTCTTCATGCTTGGTGTGTCGTGTGTCGTGTCTTGTGACGTTTGTTGCAATTCTGCCGCGGTGCCCGTGTCGGCCCAGCTGTCGGCGGTGGACGTGAGCAAGTTTCGTTTCGAACCGGCCGACTTCGAGAAGGACCAGGACCTCAACTTCCACATAGACTTCATCTCCGCCACCAGCAACATGAGAGCGTGGAACTACCGGTAAGCCCACAGCACCGACATTCATCTCAAAAGATTTCATGCCAAATGTCCGGTCGAAAACAAAGTTTAAAACCGAAATCAAACTAGTCAGCCCTGATTCGTCACGCTATTGGTGTTGTGCCGGCTGAATACTCTATCATAATGATTTGGTTTGGGCTTCTGTGAATGCTAGCCGTGGGGTTCGAATGATCCTGTATCACGCTTCCACTCCGAGGAGGGTGCCTGGCTCCGCTCGCCCGCACTGCTATCCATTGGGTCCTTCTCCGCCTAATGTTCTTCGTCTTTTCATTTACTCCGCTCCACTCTTGGTAAGGACGGCCTTGTAGCTCTACCTAATCGCGGTGCTTTGCAGCTGCCCGTTGCCTTTTCACGCTCTCGTGGACAACGTCGAAATTGCGCTCACGGTCAACCCCATCGCATGTCTTCATCCTCCGCCGTTGCCGGCCGTTGGACTGGTCAGCGGTGCCTAGTGTTGAGTTTGGCTTCTGCAGGACAAACCTCTACCCAACATCCACATCCCTACCAGTTAGCACCGCAACGTACCGGAGTACAGTACTCCATGCCATGCCAGTACCACGCCTGTCAGGCCTTCTCTCGCCCGCCTCCCTTTACGCCGATTGAAGGCTTCCATCCCTTGCACCACGCCACCTGTGTTGAATATGTTGACGATCGTCCGTCAGCAAGATGGATTGATCAAAGCAGAGGCAGGCCTGCATCACACACACGCACTGGCGTGCGAAGCCTGCAATCAGCACTTCGAAGACCGGTTCGTGTATATCGCGTCCCCAAACCTGAAAAAGAATAAAAATCGAAATCAAGACCAAACAGCACCACATACTCGAAGGTTCATTGCGTCCCCGAAACTGAAACCCACGAAATACCCAAGCAAGATTGAAAACACACATCTACTCATTGTCCTTTCTTTGTTGCCTCTTTTGTCTTGCGTGTGCTGCATCATTGGTCGTCTTGCTGCATGTGCTGTATCCCAGACCAAGTAATAATGTACTTGTTCCCTTTTGCGTCTCATGTTTCTCCTGTTATGTTGTGCTAGCATTAAGGAGGCTTCCCGCCACAAGATCAAGATGATAGCGGGCAAGATCATCCCCGCCATAGCCACCACCACCGCCTCCGTGTGCGGTCTGGTCATGATCGAGCTCTTCAAGGTGTGTTTCTCTGACAGTATCTGGCGACTTTTTGTGCGCCTTCGTGATGCATGTTTGCCAACTGATGCTGCGTGCCGAGGCTTAACCCGGACATGAAAGCCAAGATACTCATTCGCGTCTTTCTTACCCCCAACAACGATGTAGAGAAGAAGCACCAACGCCCAGAGAAAGCCGATAGACTATGGTTAAATACCTCTCTACTATATTGTACCACCATGCCGTTGTAGACTAGCAGTCTGGGACTTGGTTATTTTGGTAGCTTTCGACGCAAACTCCTCCCGTCCTCTTGCGGTGCTGCAGGTGCTGCAGGGCAAGAAGCTGGAGTGCTACAAGGACTCGTCCAACAACCTCGGCCTCAACAGCTACTTCTTCTCAGAGCCAGGTGTGTTATTCTATTCTTGTCTCTTCTACTCTATTCTCTTCTTATCTATTCTGCAATCTGCAATCGGCAATCGTATGTTATCGTATGTTCTTCACCCGTGGTGTTGCGGAATGATGCAACCCTCGTGGGTTTGTTTGAAAGCGCTGTTGGAGACGCGCCGAAATGTTTGAGTGCTGGTTATTGGACGACCTAGTGGTGGAGCAGGTGATGCGAATACTACTGCTGCTGGTGGCACCGGTACCAGTGCTGCTGGTTACACCGGTATCGGGCCAACAAGGTGATGCACTTCGGTTCCCTAGTTGCGAACTTCATGTTCCGCGCTGTGCTTGATTAGTGGCGCCCTTGTGTCTTGCAGAATTCGGCCTTTGTGATCATGTTGTACGGCAGCGGCGTGCTGTGCAAGCAGGCGGGCTTTGCCTCCTTCATCAAGGAGTGCTCTCATCTAAGTATGACATACATTTCAGAAAGCCAAGTCGTGCGTCATTCAGTTCATTACGTATCACGTGTCGACAAGCGTTGTTCCATGATAGTTTTCTAGCCGATATCCACAGCGCGGCAGTCAAATACCCCTACCATGGTCTAACTACTACACTGCCGCATGTTTTTGTGCATGAGTACCCCCCACCCCTTTTGAAGGAACGATTGGGCAACGGTGATCGGTCCTGTGGGAACCATGCTCCCTCTCTCCCGGACGCGCTGTCAACGTCAATGGTCTAAACGCAAAGGATGCTAAACATTAGTCCGCCCCC